GAGGGGTGTTTCCCTTCTGTATCATTCAGTGTTAGAACACATTCAAAGGAGTTTGGAAATGTTAAGGAAAATAGAAAATATTTCCAGTAGGAGAAGTTTTTGAAGACTGAAATGCAGAAAATGATCCCTTGGAGGGGGAACCTCAGTTCTGTCATCTCCTGCAGATTCATTTTGCTTTTCCACTTGGAATGCAGAGAATTGCTGAACATCTAAAGACTTTGCAGGCCACAGCCCAATCCCATAAGTACATTTCTGTGTCGCAAAAATAGATCTAAATGCAGAGAAAAGCCTTGTCTGATGTTTGGAGGCTTTACAACTACATTGGTCCCTTCCAACCCAAACCACTTCATGATTCAGTAAGGTTTAGTCCCCAACAGTCATAATTTCCTTATACTTAAAAAAAGGTCTCTGCCAATACATTCAACTAAAATAATCCCAGGATATGTCAAAATCATTCAGGCAGTGACTCCTCATTGAGCACTGCCAGGCTCCTGTCTTCAGCAGAGCATAACCAGCAGATCCCACATTTTGTGGTTTTTTTTCACGAGTCCAATGCCCTTCCCACCGAATATTCACCAGATAGTGAGCTGTGAAATCAAAACTTTCTCTTTTATTTCAGCCTAATGAAGGTTTTCAGCTCCTGGATTCCTCTCAGGGAAATAATCTGGTGTGAAGCAATTGTTGAAATACTTACAACACTTTATAGTTTTTCATTTTGTTGTTCTGTTTTGCAGCCATTTTTGAATAATTGCAACAAGCTCAGAAAAAATTATGTTCCCTCTGACAACATCTTTCACAAACATCTTTCCTCTCTTGTCCAGCCTGTTGGATTCTGGCTGGCTTTTTTAGCCAACGGCTTCCTTGACTTTGATTCCTTGAAGCTTATCCTGTACTAATCCCTTGGAAATCTGTATGGTTGTTCCAGAAGGTGCCTCAGTCATCAATCAGGCTTCAGGGCAGGTGTAGAAGCAGTCAGATTGTGTGGTCTCCATGGAAGATGGAAAGCTGTTCTTAAAATCTGCTTGTGGTGATGGGCAATTGTCCTAGTTTAGGACAAATTTGGGAGAAAAACTCCAAATGGGGGTTCCCCCAGGAAAACAAAATTCAAACGACCCCCTCCCCCCAACTGGTCTGGAAAAAATTTCCTTGGAGAGAAGTGGAAAAAGCATTTTATTTAACAGAAATTGAATAATATTAAACAATAAAACCTCTCACTGTTCGACAGGATGGCAAATCCAGGAAGAAAAGTCCTTTTCATGTGGTGTAGCTCGGACCACTCAGGTTCTTATCAGTCCCTCTGGCCCTGGATAGTGCTGAGGCCCAGGCCTCGGTGGGCCACAGGCGTGAGCTCCCGGGGTTTGTCTGGGTGTTTTTCAGTCCAGAGCAGGCTTGCACAGATCCAGGAAAAAGGGGAAAAAAGGGTCCAGGGAACTCCTCTGCCTCAGCTAGCTAAAACTAACTAAAAGCCAAAGAGAAGCTCTGTCCCGCTGTCTGTCCGTGCTGCAGACACCACAGTCCAGGAGCAGCATGCATGTTTTCTTTCAACACAAATTGCGAACTTCTTCTTCCTCCACTTTGCTCTCAGAGCCAGGCTTAAAGGTGCAGAACTTAATATATAACATAAACCAGGTGATTGGGGATACCAGTATCATAAAGTCACCCCAGGACAGCAATAAAAATTTCCCATCAGTATTTTTTTTTTTTAATTAGCCAGGAAAAATATCCCTAATGGTAGTGCTGGGTATCCTTTAATCCTTTCCAGTGGCTTGTGCACAAAGGACGGAAGGGCAGACACAGAGCAGAGCCCATCCCCTGGACTGGCCCTGTTGAGGAACCTCGAGGGCTGGGTCCAGTTCTGGGCTCTGAGAGCCCTGGAGGGGCTGGAGCGTGTCCAGGGCAGGGAACGGAGCTGGGGAAGGGGCTGGAGCCCCAGGAGCAGCTGAGGGAGCTGGGAAAGGGGCTCAGCCTGGAGCAAAGGAGGCTCAGGGGAACCTTCTGGCTCTGCACAACTCCCTGACAGGAGGGGACAGCCAGGGGGGGTCGGGCTGTGCTGCCAGGGAACAGGGACAGGACAAGGGGAAACGGCCTCAAGCTGTGCCAGGGGAGGCTCAGCTTGGACACCAGGAGGAATTTCTCCATGGCAAGGGAGCTCAGGCCTTGGCAGGGGCTGCCCAGGGAGCTTTGGAGTCCCCATGCCTGGAGGTGTCCAGGGAAGGGCTGGACGTGGCACTCAGTGCTCTGGGCTGGGGACAAGGTGGGGATGAGGCACAGCTTGGACTCCATGGGCTGGGAGGGATTTTCCAGCCTCAGTGATCCTGGGATTTTGTGATTGAGTTTTCACTTGTGTGAAAAAAAATTGCAAAGCAGATTTTCTGTTAACTCATGTATCAGTGAGTTACAAATAACTCCAGACTGGTTTGCTTTTGTGCTGCCATTTATGGAAAAACTGGTGATGCAGACACATCAGATTTATCATTAGGAGGTTCACTCCCTGGCATTTTAGGCAGGATGTAAGGAAAAATTTATAGATATCTTAGGGGGAAAGGGAAGGGCCTCTGAAATATCAGAGACTTCATAAACTAGAAAAATAAGACTTTAAGGATGGCTATGAAAAGGCTGATTTGCAAACTGCTGTCTCTCAGAGAGACCATATGGGTGCCACATGAGGTAAATCTGAGGAAAATTCAGCCCATTTTTAAGAAGAAAAGAATCCCTGGATCAAACCAAAGCAAACAAAAGTGCTTTGTGAAACCAAGCTGAGAGTGAAGCAGAGCAGAGTCCAGCGAGATGCAGAATCAAAGCGGTGAGGTCAGTGAAGTCATGGTGGTTGACTACAGATTATGAAATTCATCATCACAGATTTTAAATTGCTGAGATATTTTTACAGGTGAGTTTGGATTACCAACCCTTCTTTGCATCATCATTGAGGCACACTAACTAGGGCAATGCACCAGTAGATTTTATAGATTTGACAGGACTTGTTGAGCAGACATCAACACTTGGCAGTGTCACAGGGTTGGAAATGAGCTGGGTTTTCCTGGTGAAATCCTCTTTATGTTAAAAGCAGTGCTTGTCCCCCAGAAGGTGCCAGGCCAAGCTACTGGAGCAGAGTAGAACTGTACATATGTTATTGAACAGGAAATTGTGCCAAGAGCCATAAAACACCTGGGTAAAAATGATGTTTCTCATGTGACTAAAAAGTTGTTGCTCCTTGAACTTGAAACCATTCTTTAGTGCAAAGTTTGGCAGTTTTATTCCCAAGTATTTGGCAATTTTCTTCCCGTCATCTCTATTGTGTAAGAAAAAAAGTACCTTCAAAATAAATGAGTGAAAAGACCTTACTGTGGTGTTTTCCCCCATAGGACTGCAAGCCAGCTTGCAGGGGTTAAGATCAGTGATTATTTTACTGTTACAGCAAAAAAAGCATCAGCTCCTCCTGGGGCCATTCCTCTTGGATGAATATTTTTATACGGAGTCACTGTTATAATGTAAAGGTGTAAAGAAACTCCATGCTACCCTTTGGAATAAATTATTTGGGCCCTTAATAACTGGAGGTTACATGATAAATATTTTAACCTAATTTAAATGTTCTGCAGCTATTGGCATTCACAGATTTTCTTTGTAACTGCTGGTGAACTTCCTCAAAAATAACTCCTTTTAATATTTTGGTGTGAAACAAACTGGGGAGTGTTAATTTTGCAGAAAAATGGAATTTCAGAGCAGTGGTTATAAATGCTGTGCATACAAATCCGAGACACCGGAGGCCAAGACTCAGGATGGTTTGTAATGCTTGACATTTGGGAAGTGAGTTGGGAGCGTTTTCCGCAGGAGATTGTGTACGTTGTGGGGGCGTTGAGCTGACTGCTAAAAGGAAGGCTTAACTGGCAGGATGGGACAAGATTGTCTCTCGTGAGAGCCCACCTGGAATTCTGTGCACTGTTCTGTATAGCAGGGACATGGAACTCTTGGAGCAGGTCCTGAGGAGGCCATGAAGATGCTGAGGGGACTGGAGCAGCTTCCCTCTGGAGCCAGGCTGGGAGAGCTGGGGCTGCTCAGCCTGGAGAAGGGAAGGGTGTGTGGAGACCTCACAGCTCCTTCCAGGGCCTGAAGGGATACAGGAAACTAGATTGGGACAAATCATCAGGAACTGGAGTGCCAGAACAATAAGGAATTGGTTCAGACTGACAGAAGGAAAATTTAAGTTACATATATGGAAGGAATTCTTCACTTTGAAGGTGGTGACACCCTGTTGCAGGGTGTCCAGAGAAGCTGTGTCTGCCTCTGGATCCCTGGAAGTGTCCAAGGCCAGGGTGGACTTGGGGGCTTGGAGCAGCCTGGGATAGTGGAAAGTGTCCCTGCCCATGGCATAGAGTGGAATTTTGTATCTTTAGGATCCCCAACCCAAACCATTCTGGGATCCTGTGATTCCATGAAAAGATGCATGTTGAGAGCTGTCTGCTTCTCTCAGTGCCACCTTTGTGTCGTAGCTGTAGTCTTCACATCCTTGTGCTGCAATTTGGTTTCTGTTGCAGAGCAACTCCAGGTACAAACTCTCTTTTTTCCTGGAGAGCTTTATGTAACTGTGCTTTTTTCTCCCCATCATCACCTTGATGTGTCGCTCTCACTGCAGAAAATTTATTCTGAGTCTGGTTGTTATTTCTGTGCTTTCATTTGTTCGAGGTGAGATTGGGAGATGATTGCTCAATGAAGAAAAAGCTCATCTTGTTAAGGAGATAGCTGGATGTGACGGGTCTCATTGTCAATTTAAATCATTGTGCATTGCAAGTGCTTCTTCTGGCATTGTCTGATACAGCTGCTGTGTCAGAGGCAGTTTTTCATTACAGATAATAAGGTTCAGACTCTTTAAACATCACTCAAAACATAAAATACCACAAAGCTGAGGTAGAAAACAGCATTTTCAGTGTCGCAGGGCTTGCAAAAATACATAAGAATGTGGATTCCCTATAAATTCCTCCCTGGGCTGTTTAATGTCGTTGCAGGCACTATCCTGGTTGACAACATGCTGATCAAAGGGACAGCAGGAGGGCCTGACCCCACCATCGAGCTCTCCCTGAAGGACAATGTGGATTACTGGGTGATCCTGGACCCCATCAAGCAGACCTTGTACCTGAACAGCACCGGCCGTGTGCTGGACAGAGATGTAAGTTCAGGGTTGGTTTTCTCCACAAAGACATTCATTTCTAAGTAATCATACACACAGGTCCTGCTAGAATATAATTCCTGCAACTGTCTTGTCCCCAGATGGATGTGAGCAGAGGTCATCTGATCCTTATTTTAGGGTTTTTTGGGAGCACACAGGAACTTCACTGTATGTGCAAGAAATATTATTGTGGACAGACACAACAACAAAGACCAAAAAAACTGATGTTAGGGCTTTATATCCAACCAAACTTGACTCATTTGTTGAATTAAATTCTGGTTCTGTTTTGCTGACTGGAAGAAGTGCTGCTTACCCCGTGCCCTGTGGCATTTATTAGCAGCCTGCTTTCCCTGTGTACACTGAATTATGAGCTGTGAGAGGTGAAGGAGTTGTGACTGACACAATTCACTCACAAAGCTTGACATGTTCCACTGAGAATGTGCTGGTTCAGATTCTTTTTTTAAGGCAGCCTAAAACATATTTGTTGTGCTTGTTCCTGATGGTGTTAAGGAAATATTGTCAGGATAAGTTTGATTTTTATAAAGAGAAACATGAAAAGCACAAAATAAATAGGAGTGTTCTCATCTAGGCTAATTTCATTGGGGAAAAAACACTCTAAAAATAGAGACATTTCTTCACAGTGTTGCAACCTTACAACAGAACCTGAAAGCAAAATTGACTTCCGAGTGCTTTAATAAATATGGCAAGAATGCTGTAAAACTCAGGAGTTCTCCTTGGAGTGCAGGGAAGTTTGTTTTGTATTAGCTTGATTGATTAATTTGTCTTCTCCATGTGTTTTGAGATAAATTCATAAGTACCAAAAACAGCATGCAAATTTCTCCTCATTTCCATTTGCTGGTGAAAGGCACTAATTGAATTCAGCTGTTCGTAATTTTGTTTTAATTCACAAACTGTTTTCCCATGCAAAGCACAAAGTATGGCAGAGTGGTCATGGTGGCAGAAGACTTTCTGGGAAAGAGCTGGCACTTCTTCAAGTGCCAGCCAGCAGCTGCTGGAGCAGCTTTGGCCTCTCAAGTTTAATTTTAAGTGTCAGAGACAAAAATGAGAGTCTGGAATGGAAGGCAAGGCTGGAGAACCACTCTAAGAAATGTGGGGTATGTTCTTACCACCCCAAACCCCTCCATAGGGAGTTAGGAACCAAAATCCCTGTTGGGATTACATTACCAAGAATGGCAGTGTGTTTTCCAAATAAAATCAGATAAATAGCAAATTTCAAACTTTTCTTCCAAAGCCTTAAGTATGGAAAAATGACCAGTGGTAAATCAGAACTGAAGGTGCAGGGAGCTGCTGGAATGTGCTGGGATGATTCGTCCCTGGTTTCATAAACAATTTCTGCCATTGTGCCAAAGTATATTTACTTATTTTTGTAAATTCAGAATATCAAATATTTATCAAATATCTGTAATTTCACATAATTATATTCTTCTTGGGCTTGGCTAATAAATCCAGACATACTTAGTAAGGACTGCAGCGTATTAAAGGCAGCCTAAAAATTCTTGGATCTTACTCAAATGAGTAGTAAAAGGCATCACAGCCTAAATTCCTTTGTTCATTCATCAATTTGGGAATTTGAGAACATTGCTGTGTTCACTGCAGTGAGAAAAACAGGATCGTCCTGAACAACTGAAAGTTGTTTCTGAATTATTTGCAAATGTAAGTGGTAGAAAATGTGATTTATTTCAGACCTGACCTTTCAATTCAAGACAAGAAAGAAACAAGAAAGACTCTGGGGTGTGTCCAGAGGACACCACAGAGATGCTCCAAGGGCTGGAGCCAGGCTGGGAGAGCTGGGGTGCTCACCTGGAGAAGAGAAGGCTCCAGGGAGAGCTCAGAGCCCCTTCCAGGGCCTAAAGGAGCTCCAGGAGAGCTGGAGAGGGACTGGGGACAAGGGATGGAGGGGCAGGACACAGGGAATGGCTTCCCAGTGCCAGAGGGCAGGGATAGATGGGATATTGGGAAGGAATTGTTCCCTGGGAGGGTGGGCAGGCCCTGGCACAGGGTGCCCAGAGTAGCTGTGGCTGCCTCTGGATCCCTGGAAGTGCCCAAGGGCCAGGTTGGACACTGGAACTTGGAGCAACCTGGGATAGTGGAAGGTGTCCCTGCCATGGCAGGGGGATGGAATGAGATGATCTGAAAGGTTCCTTTCTACCCAGGCCCTTCTGGGATCCAATGAATTGCAATTACAATAAAGGGAAGGCTCAACCAGGTGACATTTTCTGTGTCTCTTTCTCACAACCTCTTTCCCCTTGCAGCCACCAGTGTCCATCCAGTCCATCGTGGTGCAGGTGCAGTGTGTGAACAAGAAGGTCGGCACCGTCATCAACCACGAGGTTCGGATCGTGGTGCGGGACCGCAACGACAACTCCCCGCAGTTCCAGCAGCAGCGCTACTACGTGGCCGTCAACGAGGTCAGGCCTGCCTGCTGTTCCTCCTCCTCCTTTGGGTGGGGTCACTGCTAAATTCCAGCTTTCAGCACCTCTCCTTGGAAAGCCAAAATAATACGGTTGTTTTAAAATACATGATATTTAATATCCCAGAAAAGCTCAGCATTTTGGTAGGCTTCAGGTTGTTGCATCTAATCCAGCTTTTCCTAAAGGAATACAAAGACCAGCACATTTTTCACCAGGAATATTGCAGAAGACACCCAAATTTAAAGCAGTGTCTTCATGAATGGAGCATTATTTTCTGTTAATTTAAAGCACTGTTAACAACAAAACTGGAAGTAAAACAAATGTATGTATGAAGAAAAAGAAAGTTAGAAAACAGTTTAAAATGGTTTATTAATAATGTTGAAGGTTGGCGAAGCGTAGATGTGGTTTACTGCTGTTGCTCTGTATTAAATGATGTCTGTGAAATTAATTCTTTTAATTTCTGCTCTTTATTATTTTATGTTTTTCTGGAATAGACAGCTGTGGATTGAACCACTGTGTCATTTGAAGGAAAAAAAAAAATTCTTCTTGAGGCGGTACAACTTCATTTCACTTTCCAGTGAAGTTTTTCATTCTGCTAGGGACTGAAAAATCTTCCAATAAGCAGTACAAAAACTCTGTGTTTTCAGGGTTAGCATCTCAGGGCATTAGTAATGAATAGAAATAGGGACTTACATGAAGTAATGGAAATTATGTGGGCTGAAATTATGTGTAATATTGAAAGATGTGTCAGTTTTGTACAGGTGAAGACTGAAAGAAGTAGAGTTAAATTTAAAAAATAAATTATATTAAATATGCGGACTTGTAGGGTTTGGTTTTTGGGTTGGAGGTCTGTGAGCATGACTGCTTTGAATATAATAGACTTGATTTGAAGAAATTTCCTATTTTGTCATGTTTGGGAGATTCAGCTTTTCAATGTGTCCTTGTGTTGTTTCTGGTCTCCATGACCAAGCATGTGCAGGACAGCTCTCTGCCCTGGGAAAAGGGTGGGACATCGATGAGTTGAGGCCTAATTAACCCAAAAATGTGGAGAAAACACCCCCCAAATCCACACATTATATTGGACCTACAACTGAGATAAGGATAAACAAGGTTTTTCAAACTGGTTTTAAATTATAAAGCATTTTCCTTCAAACACATTTGTGGCACTCCAGCTGCCACTGGAATCTGGGAGCACCGGGAAAGTCCTCCATGGGCTTCTCTGTGCTTTTCACATTGGCCTTTCAGCTGGCCATGGAATTTCTCTGTTTCTACAGACCCAGTGCAGGAACATTTCTAGTCCTCAGTAAACATCAACACGAGTCTCAAGTGCCTGTGTGGGTTGTGCTGCAGGGCCCAGATTACTTCCAAAACCTGCATCATTTTTGCAGTGAAAACAAAGACAGGGAGTATGGCTGTGCTAAGAAAACAAGGATTTTCTATAATTAGAGAGAAGTCCAAAGGCAAGAGTGCAAAATGCACCATTCCCAATTATTTGTGTTTAGAAACTGAGCAATGTTCTGAGGACACCAAACATTTATTGGAATTATTGCTGGGCAAAATGCACTGTTGCTCTTTCCACCAGCTGCACCCTGATTAAATTAATTTCTTCTTTTCATTTTATCTCTGTTTCATGGATAACATCTGACATGGCACCACTGTGCCCTTGAGCAGCACCCAGTGAGTTCATGCTCTCATTAATTAATTAACAAAAAAATAATTCACAAAGCATCTCAGACTCTCTCAAAGGTTTTAATGAGTGATTAAATGTTTTAATGCTCATTTATTCTGCTCATAATTGGTGCTGCCTCTGGTGAATTTAGCAACAGGAATGCACTGGGAGGAAAGGTTTGTGGTTAATTTTCACTTCTGTTTTCAGGTTGCTTGTTAAACAAAAGGTACAGAAATTTCTCTTACATAAGGAACATGAAACAACTCAAAGAAAGAGTAGATTTTATTATATTTTGGAGAAATGGAGTGGGTTTTATGTCAAGTTGTCTTTATATTTGAACTGTCCCCGTCATATTAAGATGAGTTTATCAGAGAGGCTAAGGGTAGTTGTAAATAGCACCATAAATCCTGGTTTCACATGTGGTTTCCATTTCCACAGAAAAAGACATCATTTAAAATTAAGCCTGCATTTTTCCAGAAGACTTAGAATGATGTGGAAGAGTACTGTCTGTTTAGTTTTATACCAAAAGGAGTCTTGATTTTTATACTTGATTGGGATCACTCTGTCCTGGGTTAGACTAAAAGCTCTCCTAATCCAGGATGGTTGTTTTGCTAGTCCCCTGGCAGATGCTCAAGGAAAATCACAAGGACTGGGAAAAATGCAGTTGTGCTTCCCTAATAAGTTACCTATAAAATCCTGTGTGGAGCAGCTCCAAACCAATTTTGTCTTTCCCAGTTGCTTGTGGACGTGGATATGGTGGTCCCACCTTTCCTTCCTTCCTTACTCCAGGTGTATTGTAGCCCTTTTTTTCAGCATGTTTTGGTTTTTTGCCATAATTCCTCACCCTACTGCTTCAAACATCTTCATCTGGACCCTCAGAATCCTGACACATCTCAAGATGTCTCAAGATAAAGAGTGTCTGTGGAATATTCTGCCTATTGTCCAACAGTCCTTTGGAATTTAAGTGTTTCCTTCCATCATTCCCACACTTGAACCTATAGAAGACCCTTGGGTAAAGGTGATCCCAAATTAAAGTGTGCAGAGAAATTAATGTGAGTGGTTTGAAAACTTTTTTTTTGCAGCTAAGAATCAAAATCTTCATTACCTGTTTATTGAGCAATACTTTTTTGTCAGGATTTTAATTCTTCTGTTAAAAGTATGGACTTGTCACATGAAGCTGGGCTTGTCCTTGTCCATGTTGATGGAGGCTGGCATATTTGCTGTATGAGGTGGCTTAACTGGAAATGGCAGTGCTGGAATTCACATTAAGTTACAAATAATATTGATTTTTTTTAAGTCTTAGTTGGAAACAGATTTTCTGTTTCCCTGCCATTTTGGAGCCAGTTTTCTTTTTTCCTTCCTGATGTTCTTACAAGTCCAAGTGTCTTAGCCAACTCAACTGCTCTCCAAAGCATTAGGAATCTACACATGGAAGTAAAAACAAGTGAAGGCTGATGTCACCATTTTTATGATAATGAGAAATCCTCTGCAGAGTAATTCCCTTGGTTTTTGCATGACTTACTTTTATTTATATGAAAAAATCCCATTTTTTTCATTTAGGAAAAACTCCTGACAGTGGCATTAGCCTGGGGCTAAATTTGACCATAATTGCTGGCTTGAAGATTTGAGTTATTACCATATTAAACCAGAGTTCTGCAGCTGAGTTAAAATTCAGAAGAATTATGCAGCCCAGTTAATATTCCACAGGCAAATCTATGGCATTGCCACAAGGGGTTTAAATTTATGGAGCCTAATACAAGGATTAGGAAGTAAAATTTTGTACAGCTGAGGCCCAGTGGTGGTGTCTGTGTTTTGTGTTAAACACAACTTTTCTGTTCAGTTTTATCTGAGCTAAATACAGCTCCAAATTTGCATTGGCTGGGTTTTATAAAACTGACTTTCTTTGCTCTTGCTTTTTCACTTTCCTGGGTCCAGAGCAAGTCAGGGGCATTTAATAGCAGATTCTGTTTGGAAGTGAAGTCCCTAGAACACTGTTGAAGTCAGTATTTATTAAATGCATGTAACCTTAGAGCTGCTTGTAAGCCAAAATTTGGGGGTTGGTTGTTTATTTAGTTTGGGTTTGTTTTTTTTTTTTCTCCTTTAGTTTAAATAGCAGAGATGGGAATCCTTTGCAAAAGAAGAGCCTTTCTTGAACTTCAGTCATCTCAAAACTTTGGGTTTGGGCTGTTGAGAATTAGAACTTGTGCTGAATTTTTATTTCTTGTGGCATAATTATTCCCATCTTTTTCCTCATGGTATTGAAATAATTAATCTCTGCAGGTAGACATCATCAAAAGAGCGTTAGCTTGGAATGATTAACTGTAAATCTGGCTTTGCTCTGCTCTTTGGGGCCACTCTGAAAAATTATTCATTTTTAACTTTGTAAATAGGCAATAATAAGGAAATTTATTTGTAGACTGTGGAAGAAGATTTATTGTGTCCATCTCCTCTCTATTTGTTTAATTGCATTCTTTTTGGAATCTTCCTTGTTTCATGTCATCATGATTCTTTTCCACTGGATTGAGTTCCCATGGAGATGATTATCCTCAGGCTGTCGCTGACACTCCTAGAATTTTTTCTTTGCAATCTCTAACATTTTGTTTTGCATAAGGTAAAATATTCAGCATGGCTAAACCTTTTGATGCACAACTTCAGGCCCTTTCCCTATGATATACCAAAGGTTTTTATGGAGAAACAAAATTCTGCTCTTTCAGTGAAGGAATTTTTCCCAATATCCAGCCTGAGCCTCCCCTGGCACAGCTTGAGCCCGACCCCCCCTGGCTGTCCCCTCCTGTCAGGGAGTTGTGCAGAGCCAGAAGGTTCCCCTGAGCCTCCTTTGCTCCAGGCTGAAGTTGCATTTTATTAGGGGAACTGAGTTCCTCCTTGCTGTTCCAACAAGGAAGTGGCAGCATGTTACGTGTGGTCGTGGGTTGGAGACAGAAATCACGACTCGAGTCCTTTGATCATCAAACAGCTCCTGTTTAATATGGCTGCCCTCCTTTATAGGGCTTTTGAATCTCCCAGGCTTAGATAACTCACTGGCTGGGATCTCTCTGTGCCCAGATCAGTGGCCAGTGGTTGCTTGCAACTAAGCTCAAATGGGGTTGGCTGAGGGTCCCGTGTAACTTATCCAGGGATTTGTTCTGGCATGAACCAGGCTAGCCAAATTGTATTTGTGTTATGCCCAGATTTACCATGTCCAGTACAGATCAGATGTACTGTGACAATATTGTGACAACAGCAGTCTCTCAGAAATCCCTCACAAATTGTGGGGAAATGTATTGTGGCTGGCTAATGGTAAATATCAGTAAAAATCAGCACAATGCTGAGACCTTGGTGTAAAAAGTTTGTGAGGCTTGGAGTGCTGAGGGCCTCTCCCAGATGATTGGAAGTGGATTTGAAGTATTGAGTTAAGAGCTCATCTAAATTTTTCTAAAGCCTACAGGAATCTCTAATGTAAGATCTTGAGTGGGCTGGAAATCATAGAATCATGGAATATCGTGAGCTGGGAGGGACCCATCAGGATCATCCAGTCTGACTCCTGGCCCTGCACAGACACTCCAACAGTCCCATCCTGTGCATACCTGAGAGCATTTTCCAAATGCTGCTAGAGCTTGATCATGAAGGAGTGGAGAGGATTTTTTTCCCAGTCTTCTTTTCTAGTGTCATTTGTGTTGTATGAAAGAAAACTTAGATGAAATGGGAATGTGCATGTCCTGAAGCACATCTGCAGTCAGTTATTCTGTGTGTAATACATCAAATGCAAGACTTTAGCTTTGCCTTTTACTGTTAGAGCATGGAAATGGAGTTCTGGTGTTTACTGATGTGTCATTTTTGCAACTGCCTCCTTTGTTATAATTTAATAATGTGGTTTACAGTGCTGGAGCCTTTTTATGCTAGCCACTATTTATCTGCACTGTCAGAACGGGCTGGTGAGAGCTGTGACAGCAGCTTCAGGATGTCTGTCATCTCCTGGGCTGCTTGGAAATGACAGCATTTTTACAATATTTAATGGTGTTAAACAGAAGTAATTTTTTAATTTTTTTTAATTTTTTTTTTTTTAATATGGAACATCATCTGCAGTACAGTGTCAGCTCTGGGATTCCCAACACAAGAAATCTGTTGGAATGAGTCCAGAGGAGGCCATGGAGATGCTCCAAGGGCTGGAGCCCCTCTGCTCTGGAACCAGGCTGGGAGAGCTGGGGGTGCTCACCTGGAGAACAGAAGGCTCCAGGGACACCTCAGGGCCCCTTCCCGGGCCTAAAGGAGCTCCAGGAGAGCTGGAGAGGGACTGGGGACAAGGGATGGAGGCACAGGACACAGGGAATGGCTTCCCAGTGCCAGAGGACAGGGATAGATGGGATATTGGGCAGGAATTGTTCCCTGGGAGGGGGGGCAGGCCCTGGCACAGGGTGCCCAGAGCAGCTGTGGCTGCCCCTGGATCCCTGGAAGTGTCCAAGGCCAGGTTGGATGGGGCTTGGAGCAGCCTGGGATAGTGGAAGGTGTCTCTGCCCATGGAATAGATGGAGATTTGATGATCTTTAATGTCTCTTCCAACCGAAACCGGTATGGCGTTTTACATGTCTGATGTCTCCAGAGCTGCTCCCTTCGGATCCATCTGGGAGCACCAGCACTTTGTTTGGACATCTGAAACCTGGGAGATTTCCATCACATGCCACCCCATGACCAGCCAGCACAGTGCCTGGCTCTTTCCACTAATGGCACCATTGTTTAAGAAGGAATAACTGGTTAAACTCTCTTATTTTGAGTTCCAGGGTGTCAGTGCCCAGGCAGGGCCTGAGGAGTCTCTGTGTGTGAGGACAGGTGGGAGCAGCTGTGGGCAGAGGGATCCATCCACCAGCTCCAGCACTGGGCACATCCCAGCCCTTAGCCAGCCACACGGTGCCTCAGGAAATTCGGGTTAAGAGAGGGGAAAAGTGGGTTAAGAGAGGGGAAAATGCCATGTGGCAGTGAGGAGAAAATGGTGAGGAGGAGTTGGGAGTTAAGGAGTGATACTGAGCCTAGGCTAGAGGGCTGGGACAGGGGACAGTGCTGCTTTGTGTCCCTCCGTCCCCATCCCTGTGTATTTTCTGCTGGCAGGATGTTAAATCAATGTTCCCCACGGCCTCTGTCCTGCCTGGTAATGCAGGACAGAGGCCACCCAGGAAGTGGGTGCCTGGTCTCCCTCTTTTCCCTCAAGAACATTGTATTCTCCTCTCCTGAGCTGCTGGGGAGGCAGCAAGGGGGTGCCTGAGTGGATGTCAAGGAGCAGCCCATCCCCAGTGGTGGGAAAACCCCCTGGAAACCATCCTGGAACTATTCCCAGCTGGTTTTCAGGTTACTTTGGTATTCTGTCCTCTTCTCCCCCGCACATCCCAACCCATGAGGGCACAGTCAACTTCCTACACCCACGTATGACACTTCTGCTGCCTGTTCCAGGAGTAAATAAGCCAAGTTAGTAGCAAAACATGAACATAAATAGTTGTGGTGTAAGTGTGTATAGTGGTGGTATTATAAATTAAACCCCACTTGTTTTACCATAAAAAGGCTTCAAATTGGTGGGTTTTATTTTAAAGACTCCGTATTCTCAGCCCTGAAAATGTTTCCCAGAGAACACTGCCAACCATTACACCCTTAATTAGCAGCTTTATAAATAAAACGGAAACTATGAGTGCAGGAGGAAATGGGGAGTTAAGTCTTTGCTTTATTGTGAGCACTACAAAATAAGAATGTGAAATAACATCCCCATCTGCACCAAATGCTGGAATGACCTTTGTCCCCTTTTTCCAAAATTTTAAACCTTTTTAGGCCCTCTAGGTTTCAATATGTGCAGCAACTTCATGTAAGTTCTGGAGGAAAGAAGAGGGGCCAGTGGGATTGGGAATTTAAGGGCCACAAATCTTGGGGCAATGAGGGCACCAGGGAGCAAGGGTTGTGCTGAATCCACAAGTGTTTGTTCATTTGTTCTTCACTTTCAGGTTGATTACTTTCAAAGTTTCCTGAATATTTAAATTCAGAAATGATGAGTCACAAGAAATCTTCTGTCTTTGCTCTCAATGGGCCTTGATTTTGTGCTATTTATCTGTGCAAGGATAATTATAAATTGATTCATTTTCAAAACATCATTTAATGGGTATTCAATTGCTGCCAACAAAATATTAGAGCAACAGCATCACTCCTGTGTTTGCTCAAAGCCATGAAGCTCTATGGGTGTTTGTGTTTGCATGTAACAATATTAATCTGGCTCTGTTCACGTTGATCTGAAGATGCTGTCAAATAAGTTCTGTTTACATTTGCAGCTCATCCTTGTTTTCCTTCCTGAGTCTGAAAAGGGAGCTTTTATTTAATTTAATCTGTATTTATTGCATGGGTTCTCTCAAGTTTAAAGTGTGTTTTTCTCATTTTTTGTCTTTTTTTTGAAAAAAGGTGAAGTTTTGTCTTGATACATTATAGACCAGAACTAGGGAGAAAAATAAGGTTAAAATTAACTTTAAAACCTTAAGGTTTTAATGGGGATCTCTTGCTGTTTTTGCAGTTAACTCCAGTTGGAACAACCATCTTCACAGGATTTTCTGGAAACAATGGTGCTATTGACATTGATGATGGTCCCAATGGCCAGATAGAATATGTCATCCAGTATAATCCTAATGACAAGGTACAGCCATTCAGGCTTTTTCCCTATTTTTATTTATTCATATTTGTATTTGTATTTTTATTTGTATAACATGGAGTACCAAATGAACAAGAGGTTGCTGTTGGGCATAAAGAAATGCTTTCTTTCATGTCAGGTATCCTGTCTGCCCATGAGGAATGCTTGGTCAGCACAGCTGGATTATTTCACTTTCAATAATGCCCAGAGAACTTGTATCTATCCCATCCCTGGCAGTGTCCAAGGCCAGGTTGGACTTTGGGGCTTGGAGCAGCCTGGGATAGTGGAAGGTGTCCCTGCTCATGGCAGGGGTTAGAACTGGATGGGCTTTAAGGTCTCTTCCAACCCAAACCATTCTGGGGTTCCATGATTTCTGTTTTGCCTCCAGTATTAATCTCCTAATTAATTTTTTTCCCCTCTGTGTGGGAATGGTGAATATTTTATCCCAAAAGATGAGTGCCAAACTCAGACTGTCTCCAGTTATTTATCAGTCTGGGACACACTTCCCAATCTTTTTTTCCTGCCCACCACAGATACCTGCAGCATGGGAAATTTAACACTCATTCTCATTTATTTGCTAAAAAACAAACTGCAATTTTAGCAGTTATTTAAGCTCTTAGAGGAAAAAGGCCTCGTTATGTGATGTAAAGAAACAACATTCCTGTGTGCCTCTGCTGTGTTTAGAATCCTGTATTGCTGTTGCCTGTTCAAAATACTTAAATATTAACTATCTTCAGCACTGGGAGATTGAAGCATGGAAAGATGTCTTTTTCAAAAAATTAGATTAATTTGATAATGAAATTGCAATTGGATCTCAGGTCAGAAATTTGTCCCCTCCTGCCAGTTGCTGCCCCAGCTTTGTCACCTGAGTCTGTGGAAGCAAATACAAGGAACAAATGGCATTTCACCTGATTTAGCATCTGCACTTACCCTGAAATGTGAATTTCCTCGGACAGGAAAATATGCATGAGCTGGCACCTAAAGGTTGCTGTTCTCTGCTTGTTTAGCACTTCATTGCCCTCATGAAAGGCAGAATAAAGAGCAGATAAGTACAATGATGTGGATTTCTTATCTCTGCTGCTTGAGCATTTGTTCTGAATGCACCACTGCAAATTCAGTATGGCAAAGGGGAAAGAAGAAGACTCATCAGCCTTCTGTGCAACAGATAGGTAAAGAATCCAGGAGAATTCTGTTCTCTACAGATGCATTATTGTGGGGTTCTTCAGGAGGAAATTGGGTGGGAAGAAAACATAGAAGGCTTTATAAACTCTGATCTGAAGAGCAGATGTAGCCTTAGAATACCAACCAAGGGATCATCCTGTTGCGGCCCAGCTACAACACATCTTAACTTTGAGGTGTGTTCAATTTTATTGTGTTGTTTTCTCATTTGCAGACTTCCAACAGGACCTTTGATATTCCTCTCACTTTGTCTGGAGCAGTAGTTCTGAGGGAAAGACTAAATTATGAAGAAAAGACTCGTTACTTTGTCATTGTTCAAGCCAATGTGAGTATAAATCTCTTGAAGGCCATTTATGCCCCTGATTTAGGTGTGGGTTTAGTTTCATTCGAAGGAAAGGCACAGCCTTGCTGAAATGCCAGCTCTGATAAATCCTCTTCTGCTGAAGATCTAATTTAAGATTTATCCTGTCTAAAGCACAGACATATTATTACTGCTTAAAAAAGCTTCCTCAGTGTGTGACAAGCCAACCTTTTTGGCACAAGAAGCAACTTGCAAATGTGCAGTGCAGCCCATGCAGAAAAGTGCAGCCTCATGGCACTAAATGTCCCATTTTCCAACAAATCTGGTGAGGCTAATTTTCACTCAGATGAGTCTAATGGACACAATTTCATTGTATTCTTCAGGTTGGAAATACATTTTATTATAAAGAGGTGATTTTTCCTTCAAGTCATACTGCAAGTGTGCTGAGAGGTTTTTCCAGGGTGTCTGGCAGTGGATAACTTGCACTGAGAAGAAAAGTGATGTATAAACTGTATCTCATATATCTGTCATCAGAGTGGATTTTTGGTGCCCTTGAGAGCTGTGAAAGCTTTTTTCCCTTTTTGTCCTTCTGATAACAACTGAAATGAAAACTTCTCCTCTGTTGTTCACAGCTGTTGTGATACATCTTTGTTCATGAGAAATGATATTTGCTCTGAAGCAACAGGAGATCCTGAATCCACACTTTCACATTCCTGTCATCTCTCTGACACAGAAGTGTAGATACATTTTGCAATATTTTTTCTTACCTATTTTGTGGCATTTTTAGCATTCTGCCAGCAGAAACCAGGCTCCAGGGGTGACTCAATGCTCCATGTACTTCTGCCCTGCTCTCTGGTGAGACCCCACCTGCAGAGCTGCCCCAGCCCTGGGGCCCCGCAGGGAGGACCTGGAGCTGCTGGAGGGAGTCCAGGGGAGGCACCAGGATGATCAGAGGGATGGAGCAGCTCTGCTGGGAGGAAAGGCTGGCACAGCTGGGATTGTTCAGGCTGGAGAGGAGAAGCTTTGGAGCGACCCAATTATGGCCTTCCAGGACCATAAGGAGCTGGCAAGAAAGATGGACAGAGAATTTTCCGAGGGATGGAGTGCCAGGAAAGGGGGGAATGGCTTCAAACTGCCAGAAAGCAGGGTTAGATGGGATATTGGGAAGGATTTGTTCCCTGTGAGGATGTGGAGGCCCTGGCACAGGGTGCCCAGAGAAGCTGTGTCTGCCTGCATCCCTGGAAGTGTCCAAAGGACAGGCCTGAGGGCCCCTCTCAGCTGGGGCTCCTCTCCAGGCTGAGCAGCCCCAGCTCCCTCAGCCTTTCCTGGGCACCCAGATGCTCCAGGCCCTTCCTCAGCTGCGCAGCCTCCGCTGGCCCCGCTCCAGGAGCTCCCTGGCCCTGCTGTGCTGAGGAGCCAGAGCTGGACACAGCACTCCAGAGCTGCCTCCAGGGCTGCCCACAGGGCCAGGATCCCTCCCTGCCCTGCTGCCAATGCTCCTCCTGCTGCCTATTTAGCTCCTATTGCTGGGAAAAGCCATAAAGCTCAACCCATCCCTGGAAGTGTCCAAGGCCAGGCTGGACACTGGGGCTTGGGGCACCCTGGGAAGTAGAAGGTGTCACTGCCCATGGCAGGGCTGGCACTGGATGGGCTTTAAGGTCCCTTCCAATCCAAACCATTCTGGGATTCTATAATCTCACAGGCTGCATTTCATTCTCTCTGCTGTGTATTCTGCAGTCGCATTCCTCTGATTACACCATCAGTGCCTTGTTGTCCTTGCATCCTGAAGATACCGAAGGAAATTAATTACTCTCTATCTGCTTTGATCCAGAATTACTCAGAGGCAGTTATTGGAGGAATTGAGAAATGGTTTAGTTGATGATGAAAGCTGCTCCTTGAAGCTGGAATTGTTTTTCATCATTGACCATGAAGAAAGCTGAATGCAGAAATTCCCATATTTGCTATAAATGTGAAGCTGGTGCAAGAACTGAGTGGACTGCAAAACAGGAAAAAAAAAATGCAACCAATCCAATTTAGAGCAATGGCCTCTTCATCTTACATAGATGATGTTATTAAACAGCATGAATTAAAAAAGAATTTTTTTTATTTTTTTTTCTTTCAGTGTTACATTAGGCTAGGAGGGCAAGATGTAATTGCACATAGTCCCCCACCAAGATTTTAGCTCTGCAAAGGAAAGCTTGTGCAGCAGTTCCTCTGTGAAAATGGGAATATTTTTGATTATTTTAAACAAAATATTAGCTAGTCATGATGTTCCTTCACTAAAGGAAGAAAGAAGACTTGAGCTGTTGCTAATGTGTACTTCGGGTACAACCACAACGATTTCTGATTATAAATAAAGCACAGGGCCTTTTTATCTTCTACAAAAGTGCTCCATTATTATAGTTTTAATCCCATGGTTTTCCCAAGCTGCATTATTTCTGAGTGATAGATGTCTTGCAATATTTCTTCACTTTTTATCTTAATTTTACTTGTGAGCCTTTCAGCCTGCACCTCTGGGGCTGAAGTTCCTGTAATTACTCCTAGAACATGGATAATTCTGATACTTATATGTTTTATCCTTAGCCTTGCTTAAAACCTTTGGGGTGGTTCTTTCTAAGAGATTCCTAGGAGATTTTTTTGCAGGAGATTCTGAGTTCAGGAAGTCTCACCAAGTGGGCCTGGTTTGCTCCACAGGACCGAGCCCAAAACCTGAACGAGCGAAGGACGAGCACGACCACCCTGACTGTGGATGTGCTCGATGGGGACGATTTGGGACCCATGTTCCTCCCCTGTGTGCTGGTGAACAACACCCGGGACTGCAGACCCCTCACCTACCAAGCCAGCCTGCCAGAGCTGACAGATCCTGTAAGTCCTCTGGGATTTTTCCAGGTTTTATCTGTTTGCCTGTCATCTTTTCCTGTGGGCACAGCTGGGAGCTGTAGCTAAAAGGTCACCTGTGCTTGAATGCTGTGTTTTGAGTACCAAGCAAGAGGAAACAAAGGTAAGAGGCATGTGGGAATGATGGTGAAATTCCAGCTTTGATCCAGTGGCAAAATGGCTGTTGGCTTTCAAGGACTGAGTCGTGCAGAAAGCTGGTAAATTTTGGAATTGCTTTTCCTGATATGTCCGTGTTTAGCTCTCAAAATATCCCCAAGAAGCACTTTCGGGAGGGCGCTTGACTTAATTCTATGGAGGGTTGTTATAAACCATAGGAGAAAGATTTTTGGGAAGAGGAAGCATTAGTCACTGACCCCTGGAAGTATTTTTGTTGCTGTTACCAGGTTTTTATCAAGAGACACTGAAGAGCAATTACCCCATGTAGGTCCTTGTGCTAAGTCTGTCAGTTAATACATCCTGGGGTCAGGATAAATGTGAGTCTAAGGCTCATTTTACGCTACATGCACACATGAATCCAAAAATGAGGTGAGAACTTCATCACTTCTTGTTGCAATTTGGTGCCAACTGCCATTCCTTACAGCAGAGCTGCTGCTTGGAGATCTGTGGTGGAAGGAACAGAAACAGGGACTGCTGAAGTAATATTGATATGCGACTTTTGATTCATATATTTAAGAATTTAAAAAGGCAGAACCAATTGAATCACCAGGTATTGCCCCACTTGATTAACTCTGACATTAAGATGACATTAAAATAATGTTAAGCTTTGACATTAAAGTTTTTAACTTTGGTTGCTCATTACAGCACACACTCTGTGTCCTGCTGCCTCCAGCCAAGGGCAGGTTGAGGTTGGAAGTGTGGAGATTCCTGCTTTACCCTGCCTTATCTCCTTTCCTGTCCTGACATTTTGGTGTCTTGTTTGGTGTGGCCTCAGGACTCATGATGCAATTATCCTTGGGATGGGTCATGGGAAAGGAGAGATGATCCATATCTAACCTCGGAGTACTCATTTCCACATCTTCTGCACACACACTTCTACACCTTGGTGTACTTAAAAAACCCTTTGTAGCTGTGTTGTGTTTGGGACTTGGTGAAGAGCTGTGTTGACTTTAAATTCTACTTTAATTTGCTTTGGGCTTGGTGGGATTTTAAGGAAAGAGGCAGCTCCCTGTCCAGCTGAGTGTGGGACCTCCTCAGGGTCAGCACCCAAACTGTGACCCTATTTCACCTGCATAGATCTCTTATAATTCCTAGTGTGGGAGCAGATGAGGCAGGAATTATAAATAACTGGTGGTTTTAATGTTTTTTTAATCTGGTTATCTGAAGGTGTAACACAGACCAGACAGTTTTTGACATGCTGCCTCTCAGTCAGAGGATTCCAGTTCTGGTTCTGCTTCTGCCCTTCTCCAGGGCACATTCTCCACTGGAAGGCAAAGCAGTGTCTGCCAGGAAGAGGGGCTCAGCCAGGAAAAATCCGACCTGGGATTTAGGTACTGAGCTGCAAAACTCATTTATTTAAACTTCCTGAGCTGCAGCATGCTCAGGGACAGCCGATTTTGTTTGCTTTTTAGCTTTTCTTGTGTCAAACTGCCCCTGATCTATGAAATAAGATCTGGGTCCTGTTGATGAACCCTGAACTCTTCTCTGTTTATCTCTTTGCAGTGCTTTGGATAGACCTAAGTGGAGGAAGTTATACCTTGAATATCAAATATTTACTTGGCTTTTAAGCAATAACTCCTTTGGAAGATATAGATGATACCTGGATTTGTCTAGAAAACATTTATATTACGTTTATCCTTTACATTTTTATGTATTATATTTATTCTTTACTGAGCAACTACATAGCTACCATTACCCTACTCCCTAGGCTAAAGGACTATTTTTAGTTTAACACCATCTTTATTTTATTTTTAATTTGCTTTTTAATTTTTCAATGAAGATGAGATGGAATATTAATGAATGAGGAACAAAGTTGAAGTATGAATTATTCAGAGGCAGTAGCTGGAAAGAGAAGTCCTGCTTTACTGGGCAAGATGTCCACTCAGATGACCCTTAAAATAAAACATTTAATGTCACTGGTAAAAGCAATATTTTTGTCCAGAATAGTTGGAATCTATCCATGAGTTTACTGAGGTAAAAAGTTGGGAATTAATTGCTTGCTATTAGCTGAATTTCAATTTCCAAGAAAACCTGTGTTGATTGTTTATTAGGTTTGGGGATTTTTGTTGTAATTGTTACATTGCTTTACATTTATATTCTATTTTCTAATATATTTATATATTAGAAATATGTATTATATATATTGTATATTTTTATATAATATAATAAATATAATTATATTTTTATATGTTTCTGTTTCTGATCAGCTCTGGCAATTAATTTTTTCCCCCTCTTGTATCAGGAAGACTTGAATAAATTAGCATTTATTATCAGGACGTGCAAGTCATCACGTGGAGTTAAAAAGAGGTACAACCTCATGAATATCTCATAACATGGGCAAGATAATTTCTCCTCCTTTTTTCCCCTTTCAGTCCATTCCTGTCACACTCATGCTGTGAAGATTTCCTTCACTTCTATACTCGGTATTTTCCATTATCATGCAAAGGAGAAAAGCCTGATAAGTAGCAAAATATAGATTAGAGTTATTTAATTAATTGCTGGACTAGATTTGCAACCATGGGATTTATTATGGGGCTCCATGGGGTAACTGTGAGCCCACACGGGGACTGAGGTACTCCATGACACCAAGGATTTTGTACTAAGCACAGATTCCACCTCACTCTTCTGCAAGATCCTTGTTCTTGCACCTCTGATGGATCCTCCTGCATGGGAAGGGTTTAGGTTTGTGCTGCTTATCCCCATTGTGTCAGCAGGGACCTCACAGCATCTGTGAGCCCAGGTGCCCTCATGGAGCTGGGCCTGAGCAGAGCACGGAGAGATGAAAGGCTAAAAAATAATAAATAAAACATTCTCAAACTACAGTGAGGTTGTGAGGAGTGAAAAAAGACACTGGAGAGCAGGAGGTGCCCCTGGAAGTCTTTATTAGTGAGAAAGACCTCTTCAGTTCCATCAGTTTGTATTCAGGGGGAGAAACAGGCATTTTTCTGAGGAGATGGAGGTGGATCACTCCTGCTGAGTGATCTGGGGTGGGGAGCACAGGACACTTCCAGAGTATCAAGAGTTAATCAGCTCTGGACTAATCAGTTTTATGCTGATTATTGGTAATTAATTAGCACTGCAGAGAATGTGCTGGTTTTAGACTGATGATCTCAAAGGTCTTCTCCAACCTAGTTAATTCTGTGATTAATTCTGGTTTTGGGTACCTCTGGGTTTGAGGATGGCAAGCACCTGACAGTTCCTTCCAACTGAATTCCTTCCTTTGGGCCCACAAATTCCAGTTCCTCCCAAACCTTCTGGAATTTTCTCCCAGAGACACATTAATATAAAACTTGTAGCAGCAGCACAAGTGAAAATTCTGGAAACAGCATCTCCCCATCTTGATTATACTAATCAAAGAGAAAAGTTCATCAAAATGTTATGGATTTCCTCCAGTGGTCATTAAATTAATTAATTAACTAATTCATTACCTTATTTTGCTGTGGGAAGTACCAGTACAAAAGACATTTGATCCAGGGTTCTACCATGGAATGAACACCAAGTAAGTGGTGAAGTGAAGAGAGTGGGAGAGATTTGCTGGTTCACCTGGAGCTCCCACACAGCTGCCAAGGAAGATTTTTGTGGCACTGAAAGACACAGCTTTCAGATTTTGTCCTGTTAGGCTGAGTTGAAGTGGATATGTGTGGTTAAATCCACTTTAATAGAAGCTTTCAGCAGATGGGGAATGGCAGTCTTACCTGTGTGAGTGGTAAAATCCCACAGAATAACTGGGTTTTTTCTTGCTGACTTTTAAACCTGACTGCTTAAAGACAATTCACAGGGAGGGAATCACTCCTAATAGCAGTAAAACTGCATAAACTGAAAAACTCATGTTCAGTTGACACTTTTCCTTGTCATTTATTTTTGTGTTTGTTTGTTAGATACGGGACATTTTAAACCGCAAATGTTCACAGTTAATTTAGGGAGTTGTTGGTCTCTGGAGCAGTTCAATCTCAGCCTACCTTTATTTTCTCTGCCTTATTTGTACTAAGATTTACCTTTTTTAATTCAAACATGATAAAAGAGCTTTGCCAGCCTTTGGCCTGTCTAGACTTACGAGCTGCATTTGTGATTCAGTGGCATCAAGCCTCAGGAAATTATTTGGGATTTAATTTGTTTCTAATTATTCCTTTCCCAGCTGAACAGGCTCTGTCCAGTTTTTGGGACTGCTGCTAAATGCTCTTGTTGGGGATGGTGTTTACACTTCCTGCTGGAATTAGCCCATGATTGACTACAGTTGTGTCTGCTGGCAAAACTAAATGTTCAAAGTCTGCCTTCCAGAGAAAACAGAGTTTTCATCATTAGGAGAATTGTTTCTCTTTATACAAATCATTTTGGACAAGAAAAAAGTGATTTTATATTTTGAATAGGCAGCATTCCGCCCTGCTGTTAATTAGACTAAAATATTCGGTTCAAGATAATTAGTGCTGGGATAAGATGAATGGGAGTTCCTGGGTACTTTAATTCCAAAAATTATTTGGTGGACAGGGCATTGGTGTCACTTCAGGAAATAACCAGAGAAATGTTTTCAAAACTGGCTGTGTCTCTACATTCTTATTCTTAAGTAAATTAGAAAAGAACTTTGTGACTGAGGCTCTGAGGAGTCCCTGTACCACGGAAAGATGAGCAAATTGTCCCATTTTCCAGGGATTAATTTTTCAGTAGCAATTTAGGTAAATGCTGCGACTCAGATGAGTGGAGGGGAAATGCAGATTGACCTCCCTGACACCTCTGCAGTTGTCAGGGTGCTTTTTATGGAAGAAGGCAGAGTTGTAGCCAAGTTATTTGCCGTTGGAGGCAGATAGCAATTTTTC